TGCACACACAAGACACTGCTGGGGGGAGGGAGAGAGAACTTGAGCAGGGGTAGGCAACCTACGGCACGTGTGCCGATTTTCAGTGGCATTCTCACTGCCCGGGTCCTGGCCACCGGTCCGGGGGCTCTGCATTTTAATTTAATTTTAAATGAAGCTTCTTAAACATTTTAAAACCCTTATTTACTTTACATACAACAATAGTTTACTTATATATTATAGACTTATAGAAAGAGACCTTCTAAAAATGTTAAAATGTATTACTGGCACACGAAACCTTAAATCAGAGTGAATAAATGAAGACTCGGCACACCACTTCTGAAAGGTTGCCGACCCCTGAACTAGAGGGTTCCTGGCAGCTGCAGTTCCCAGTATGCCCTGAGGGAAGGAGAGGGCAGCATGTAGGCAAATCCATGCAAGCCTGGGATTGAGCATCAGGCTTTTTCTCCCTCTGGATCTCTGGGAGGGAGGGGGACAGGCATCTGGGCAAGGGGGGGCCCCTCAGCGGGGCTCTGGGGAGGAGGTGGTTTGGGTGTATTGGCTAGGGTGACCAGATAGCAAGTGTAAAAAATCGGGACAGGGTGGGGGGTAATAGGTGCCTATATAAGAAAAAGCCCCCAAAATCGGGACTGTCCCTATAAAATCAGGACATCTGGTCACCCTGGGGGTGCGGGGGGGAAGGGATGCAGGTGGGCTCTGGGAGGGAGGGGTTGTGGGTGTCTTGCCCCCCAGCTGGGCTCTGCCCCTCTCCCAGAGAAACAGGAATTGGGTTGTCCTAGAGGTTTCTTCAACTCTCTACCACTGGAGGAATTTTTGTGTGTCTGTACTGTTAGACATACTCACTGACAGGTATTTTGAAATAAATTACCAAAATAATTGAAAGTGGGGTGATTATGTAGTGTTATTTTGACAAAATTTGCAGAATTTTAAAATTGTGTGTAGAATATTTAATTTTTTGGTGCAGAATGCCCCCAGGAATAACAAAAAGCTGAGATATGCTAGCTTGATGAGGTGCGCTACCCAGTGGCTGATCAGTGTGGGCCTCTGGCCTGATAGGGTATGTTACTCCTCAGCTACTCCAGCCCTTCCCTTGGAACATGTCAAGTCCAAAGTGTTCACCACCAGTCCCAGAGTGTCTATCAAGAGGGAGAAGGAGCAGTAGTTGGAGAGACAAGTAGAGTCAAGGGTGGATTTGTTTAAGATGGGAGAGACTAAAACATGTTTGTATGAGGGGAGAGTCAGAGGATGGGAGTTGGCACAAGGGAGATCAGGATGGGATCACTGGGGCAAGTGGAAAGACTAGGAGGAAAGTAGACTGATACTGCTGGAGATGTGACCAGAGGGGTGGGGAAGGTCACCTCTTATTTTACAATCACTCTGGAAGACACATCATATTTGATTGTAGACAAGGGTTTGTCTACACATGGAATGGTTCTGCATTTATTCCTGAATAAATGTCTCTACACAAAATTAATCAGGAACAACTCCGGTGTAGAAAAGCATAAGAATCAGCATCTGTTCATTTGGAGGATGAGCTGCTGCAGCTGAGGTTATAACCTCATGTGACAAACAAGTCCTCCAAAGATATTTTGAATACAGAAAAATCAGAGTTTGAGATTGCCTTGATAGATAGCAGTGAACAGCACACATAAACTTGGTTTCTGCTCATCAGCACATCATTTAATGTGTCAGTAAATATCTGATACTTGATCAAAACATTAGATGTAAGTTTATTGTGGTTCTACTCATAACAGCAAAAGGTTTAAGTAGTGTTGTTTAATACAAGTTCATAGAAGGCTAGAGCCTGTAGTAATGAATCACACATCTCCTCATCTCTGTTTTGTGTGACTGAAGAAAATAGGTTTCTGTAACGTACCACCTTGTTCCGGGGAAAGGACAACCGGGGCTGTTCTTGGGTAACTGACTGTAAGAGAAACTGCTTCACCAGGTCCACTCCACTAGACCGAGAGTCTCCTACCATCAATCCAAAGTGTTTTCCTACAGTGCTTCGGGCCATACTTAGTACCTTGTGCTGGCCATCTTGCATAAATGTCTTTTGTAATAGGGCATACAGCATAGCTTCCACAGTGCGAAGATGTAATGTTATAGGAAAGAGATTTGAATTTTGAGCAGGCAGTCCATTTTTTTCCAGAATATAAAGATCAGCTTTAGGAATCTTAGAAACTACTGAAGAAATCTAGAAGGGGGAAACAAATAAGCATGATTAATTTAAACCAGAAATCAAAGCAACAGATTTCATGGTTACTGTCTCTCAAAAATGAAGGTGGTTTTTATAAGAAACATAACTGTCTGGTCAAAAGTGGAATGTAGTCTTCATGAGAACTTTACCCACTTTGTGGGAATTTCAATGAAAAAAGTGTCCAAATTGCACATTTTTGACAAACTCTGCTTCTATATTACTTTGAAGATCACTTGTTTCAGCCTAAATTTAAAGAAACTGCAATTATGGTGAAAATGGGAGAAAGTTAATCAGTCCTCTAGCACACACAAATTGCACTAAGAAGGTGTCAGAGATTATAAATACTGTGGTAAAGTGGCCATTACAAGCAGCTCAGCCTTAGCATTTGTAAGTACTTTAAGGGTATGTCTACACTGCAATTCAAAACCCATGGCTGGCTCATGCCAGATGACTTGGGCATATGGGGTTCGGGATGCAGAGCTGTTTAATTGCCCACGCTCTAGGACCCTGTGTGGTGGGAGGGTCCCAGAGCTGGGGCTGCAGCATGAGTCAGAACGTCTACATCACAATTAAACAGCCCCACAGCCTGAGCCCTGTGAGCCCAAGTCACGGATGTCTACCTGCAGTGTAGAGGGAGGGAGTGGGTGCATCTTTCTTGCAGACTCTTGTACTTGCAGAGATCCAAAAAAACAGTGTTGGAAAGAAGCCAGCCTTCCCATTTCCGTCTGTAACTCAAGTCCTGCATCCTGCACACATTGACTATAGGATACATTTTAAGGGCTACTAACCTGCTAGATTCTTTATCAAAGGTTGATTGCATAGTTACAGTTCTTCTTTACAAATGTTATAAGGGTCTGTTTTCAACTCTAAAGGATTTCTAATGAGATCAAACTAGCAAAATAAATACAGCTTAAAAGAATTGCTAAAAAGAAGGCCCTGCCTTGGAAAATTGTCAATTTTTACATACTGTACTATGACAGCCCTAAGAATAAGCAATTTAAGATTAACAGAGCTACAAGGGGGAGGAGTTGATGCTTATTAAAGTTTCAAGCATGCGCTACTTACTTCTTCCAGATATACTGCTGGAATATAGGTTCCTTTCATGAATCTACCACACTTTTCTTGTTGCCAGTCATGAACTGCTAGATTTCGATCAACATGAGCCCATGCAATTTTAAGGGTGCCAAAAACAACAGACACAATGCTATTTAAAGTCTGAAAAGGAGAAAAAAATAATTATGCATTTTTAAGATGTAAATCACTAAGTACTAAATATTATTTGATGTCTTGGGAAAAATACTACTTCTTAAAATAAATGTATTATATCTACTCATTGATGAATTATTATTAAAATTGATTTATGGGAATAACAGAAGTTTACTCTGAAAATAAGTAGTTTCTTGATAAAAATCAAATTTAAAATGTTGTATACCTCCAACCTCTCTCTCTCTATTTCAGGTTTAATAAACCTCATTGAAGCCCTGGTGACTTTTATTTTTCTCTCTCTTCTATCTCCTTTCTCAGCTGGATTGAGGATAAAGTTACACACCTTAACAACAGTTTTATATTGAAAGAGAGGGACGTTCAATAAACTCTGCAAGTTCTGAAATGGTCCATATTTTTCCCTATGCTCAATTACATTGACAGACTTTCTTCCTTGCAATAGTTTAATGGCGGAAAGTTCTCTCTCAGATGCCGTGTTGAGCACTTGCAGGATGGCAGATTGTTGTTCAGAGGAGTACAAATTAGAGAGTGCATCTTTTGGTGTCTTGAAGGTTTGATTCATCGTTGGGGAATTGACACAGTTGTGTTGTACAGCAGATGTTGATTTTTTCTGACACCAAGAATGGTGCAGGGGCTGAAGCTGACATGAACCCAAAGGGACATGAAAGAAATACCTTCCTGAAGAAAAAATGAGTTAAAACAGTGTATTCATTAACTTACTGAACACATACATCCATACTTCATTGTGAGGCGCCCACCTCACAAATTTACTTCTGTGCCATACAAAGAAAAAGTGTTGGCCAGCTTTTTAATTCCCTTTAATTAAAATTGTCATCAGAAATCTAACATTTCAAACAGGTTATAGAAAAATTCAGAGTTAGAGAAAAGGGCCACCCATCATTTTAAACTTCTGCTATTTGTGTTGGTGGTTTTTTTATTGAAATTTATTGCCACCCATTAAGTGTTCTATGACCCCACTTCAATCTAGCCCTGGTAAGTAATGACCCAAACCCATTGGATAGATGTTCAATGACCTGTGAAATTAGTGGATTGTTTCAGTCTCTTTCTTAGGGGGTAAGTATCACTTTCACAAAAGCTACCACTGTCACATTCACAACTGCTACTAGCTGTTCCCCAGATGCTAGTTGCAGCAGGAGCGAAGGAGCATGGAGACTGAATTACCCTCTCAGCCATAAAGGTTGCTAATCTGAACCAAGGTTGGCTTGAGGCCCTTTGGAGAAGAAGCGGGGTTTGTACTGCCACTGCCTATTGCAGGCAAATGGACCACTTTAGTCCACAGGGCTGTCAAGGTAAATTCATCAAGGTATAGTGAATAAGAGCAGCAGTAGAAGAGCAGTGTCATCCATGGGCCTTGGAGGGCAAATCCCCCACCAGTCAGAGAGGCCTCCTCTACACTATGAGGCTGTCCATAAGGCATTGGAGAGGGGCGGGGGGGAGGCTTAACTCTGCGTGTTTGTTTTAGTGTTGGACCGGGTACGTGGGTGAACCTTGAAAGATCACCAGAAAGCGTTGTTTGTAGTGTAGTTGTAGCCTGAGAGTCCCAGGATATTAGAGGGGCATGGTGCAGGAGGCAATATCTGTTTACTGGACCAACTTCTGTGAGTGAAAGAGATGAGCTTCCAGCTACAAGAAAGAAGAGCTCTCTGGGGCTGGCGAGCGTGTCTCTTTCATCAATCTTGTCACCCCCCAAAACATGCTCGGTGCTGTCTGATCAGCCCCTAGGAAGGAGTCCAACAGGACTAGTGTGTCAGGCCAGCGCTTGACGCAGGGCAACCAAGGGCACAGATAAGGGCCAGGCAACTCACAAGCAGCAGGTTTCTGCTGTTGCCTATCACCCATAACCAGGTACCCCCTGCTCAGTACAAAGGGGGAGACACTTCTTCCCAGGAAGACCCCCTGAGGAAACCTTCCC